GCTTTTGGCCGGTCACCATATCGTTTTGCAAGGTAAAGGTAAAACCTCAAAATGCGAACTGGGTCCAAGACTATATGGCTGTACGAAGTCTATTGCCTGTTGCTCGTCTCATGGTGACCGGTCTGGATCACAGGACGAGCAGTTGAAAATATTACATCACGAAAGTCCTCGTTGCTGTCCGAGTTCCCGCCCAAAGATGCCGAGCGGGCCGGCAGCGTGCGACAGAAGAAGTCCATCTCTGGCCTGTTCAAGCAAGCATTCTGCTAGAATGCTGACCCAAGTCCCTTTAAGGTGCCATAGATGGAGCTCTCTGCATGATGCGACAGTGTCACAATTGGCAGCAAAATGCAGCAAATTGCAGCCATGGCCTCGTGCGCATGACATCCTTGCGTATTTGCTCGAGCACCTGAGGTGTATGCGCAGGAGGGATTACCAACACAGTCAATGGAGGTGCATGTTCGCCTCGGACAGCGGGACCACGTGGTCTTCATCATCAGGCCAGCCAGGGGGTCGCTCCTTAGTGCTGGCCATGGAGGTCACACAATATCGGCATCACGCCAGCTGCTGGCAAGGTTCCCCCTCCTGGGCCAGCACTTGCGGCAGCTCGGACTGCAGCTCCTCCAAGCGCTCTGTGGTACAGTTCGGCTGAATTCACAAAGTTTCCGAGGCTCACGGCCTGAAGGAAGGTGGCATAGTCAGCCCTGGCCGAGGCCAGAGCCGCGTCCCAGCGGAAGGCATCACAAGGCCTCAAACAACTCGAGCCATAGCTCTGTCAGGGATGCATCGTGACGCATGGTTGACATGTCCTTTCCAAGGCGCAGGTAGCCCAGCAGTAGCTTCCAGAGAGCGGCACGCAGCACAGGCGCCTGACTCGAGAAGCGCAATTTTTGAAATCTGGGCAGACCCGCCATCCATCCTCTTTGACCTTTGTTGCTTTAGCTGCAAGATGCGCCTAGTGTGCTCAAAGGCAAGTGCTGAACATGTGGCAGGATCGCCTCGTCAGGGATGCCATCCGCGCAGAGCGGTCTCACCACGTTCAAGTCAATTTCCAGCACTTTCGGCGAGTCGCCGTCGGTGATACGAGGACAAACGCAGTGCCTTGCGACAAACAATTGGCTGTCACAGGCTGCAGCACAGCATATGCACTTGACTGCCACCGCGCAATCTCAGAAGCAAAGAATTTGGCTTGCATGGGGAAGACTATAGACTGCAGGTGCAAGGAAACCTTGCCACAATTACACAACTGAGCAGAAGCTGCCACGCAGCACCTTCAGGGAAAACAAACCATGACAAGGTCAAGGGGCAGCAGCCGGATCAACCGCGACGCAAGTTTTTCGCAGTCTGTGTGGAGGGCCTGCACCACATGGGATATCGCTTGCTTTGTGCGCAATGTGGTGTCCAGCCGACCTGCACCTGCACATGCTGCAGCAGGGAGCTGACTGAGGTAGGCAGCGTCTGGTTGCCAGCCCGCCGGGGCATGACCGCATGGCGGGGCAGTCTTGAAGACACTAAGTGACGGAATCGCTAACATCTATGGTGCGATAAACACAAACATTTCATCTGTGCCTTGTCCAAGTTTCGCATTGGACGAGAGTCAAGGTCAAGTTTCTGAACGGGCGGGGTCTACTCTCGGGGCTGAGGGGTGTCTCGTCTTGGAGTCTGAAACTCAACGCGGCGTTTAAGGATTCATGCTGCTGATTCTTCTTGATGGCTTGCCATGCTGGGCTTCCTAGGAACGTGGTCCAACTTGGAGGGAGTCGTTCGGTGCTTCGATCATGCTGCGGCTGCGGCCTTGTCAGTCTTCAACAACGGAGGTCCTGCACGACCTCCAAAAGATCCAACCCCTTTGTTTGGCATGCTTGCCCTGTCTTGGCAGCCGTACTGCTTCTGAAAAGCATCATAGTCAGGCCATCCGCAATTCATGATCAGGATGGGGAACGTCCACAATGAAGATTGGTTGAAGCACCATAATCCAGTAGTTTGAAGCGTAACAGGGCTTTGTAGCAGCACGACAGCTAACGGCCTGCAGTGCGGCATGATGCCGCCGAGAGGATCGCATCGGGCCTGAGTTTGTCCAAGATTGGAGAGAAAACGTTGGGAGTTTCAGGGGTTCAGCTTAAAGCTGATCAATGCCTCGAATGAGGCTTGTGGACTAGACTTTAAAGGGTCTTGAATATGAAGGGTCATGATGATGGCATGACAGTCACGCCCCTTGGTAGTCATCCGATGCAGCTTCACGCAAATAACTCTGATCCAACTCGCGTGCATAGGACAGCAGCTGGCTTTGTCAGCATATCAGTGCTTTGGGGCTACTGAGTGAGTCCTGATGCCAAGCCCCAAACTAGGCTGCGCTTTCGGGCCCGCCGGGCCCAGTGTAGCAGCAGTTCGGTCCTGCAAGCCCCAAAACTTGTGAACTAGGGCTTTGAATCTCTTGCGCATCTGTCGCGAGCCAGGGCTTTGAGTTTGGATTTGCCGCGGGCTTCGGTCCAGCAGGGCGGACTGCTTCAAGAGATCCGTCGGCAGGTGACGCTCCTGCTCGGCTCTTGCTGACCATGGGCTTATGGATGCACAGCCCACAAGACTTGACGGATAGCAAGCTGCCCGCCTCCAAATCAGTCCGCGCTGTGTTCACACCTAGTGCCACAAAGATGGACAAAAGCACAGCAGAAAGCTGCACATGTTCTCTCAATCACTCACGCTTCTTCAGTGAGCATGTACGGTTGGTGCAAACAGAAGCTCTGCGTAGCACTGGAAGACGAACAGCTCAGTTTGGTGGAAGTGGAGTGGCACACCCAGCTTCCCAAGGAGGCCACTAGACGCCAAGCGGGAGGTCTCTGCACCATCCCTTTCTTTGGAGGTGGGCCTCGGACTCACTGCATGTGGGCTTTCTTCTATCTTCGGCCATCCAAAATGCCGTCAAAACCTCTCTGCCTATCCTGCCAGTTCATCCGCAAAAGCGCCCCCAATGATTTACATCAAAGCTCATGTGTGGAACATGATGGTATGGAAGGAGTTCACTTCTTGGCATCTGGCTTGATGTTGAAGTTCAACTTCATGGTGAACTCCTGCGGCAGTGGACGGAAGCTCTGAAGCTGAGATCATCCAAACCCTGGGAGTCGACGTTATCAACAAAAATTGTCATCATTCGACGACATCCGGCTGATCTCATCACAATGAGACTGCATGAAACACACGGCCGGCCTCTTCCACCGCACCATGCGGTCCAGGGGGGTTCACTATGACCTGCACACGGGAAATGCGTGTGTTCAGTCTATTTCATAACTCCACCACCTAGCAATTGCTGCCGCAATAGCTTAGACTCCAGGGCTGAACGCGCTGTGCAGCGGCAGTGGTGCTCTGCTTCCACATGGGCACACACACAAAAGTAGAACACTGGGGTCATTCACACTGGCAGCTTGCCTCAATCTGGTGCCCATCCTTGTTGCCTGAACAGCATGTTGAGGGCAAGCAACCTGAAGCGAAACAAGCCTGGAAATGGGAGACTGGCCTTCAGCACCGGCACCGGCACCGAGAGCCTCACAGCAGCTTCAGATTCATAGCGAAGGGCTCCCAGCGCGCGGTTAACCTCACTCCTGCTCGATGCGCCTGGCCTTCTGCAGCCCAGGTAGAAGCTCAGAGCTGGCAACGCCTCAGAAGCTAGCTGAGCTCGCTTCAGTTGCAAAAAGCTTTGCTTGGCCAGTGCTTAGCGAATCTGAGACGCCAGCATGCGCTGCCTTGCACTGAGAGCAAGTCCACCTGCTCAAGACTCTGCCAAAAAAGCTCAGGACCGAAGCTTGGAGTTGAAGACCAAATTAAGGGAAGTTCACCCGCCCCGTCGCAGCTACCCCTGTAGGATTCTTTTTGCACTTATCATCTATGTAGCTATCTATCTATCCATCTATCTATCGGCGGCTCTCGAAACCATGATCCTTGTGCTACATCTTTTCTAGCCAGGGCTTCCCATCTGCCCCGGTACACTGCATCCGATGCGGCTTCTCTCCCGGCCTTCAGACCGCTGCCGCCAGCTGCCACGGCTGCAGCGGTGGAGGCATTGGAGAACGCGAACTTCTGCTTGGGCGCTAAAGCTGCCTGCAAAGGAAAGAGCCAGCCAGAGAGGGAGAGAGCTCTTCCTTTCTATTTATTCTAGTGCCTGGACGAAACTATTACAGCCGTACATCCTCAAAGAAACCTCCAGACAGTATGGCGCAGCTCCTGCTCAGCCCGTCCATGGATGCATTCTTCAATTCTCTCCACACTTGGTATATTTGGTTCTGGATGAGATGGCTTATGATCTTCGCTTGCTGGTGCACCCTGCGGTAGGCAGCTTGGTGCCTGTCTTCGAGATCCACCTGCACTAACGCTCAGCAGGCACCTGAGAAGGGGAAATTCTGGACAGTCGCCAGGCACGTCAGTCGGCCTTGTTTGCCGCACTGGGGGCCCTACCCGTCTGGGATATTCTCTGCATTTAAAAGGCATAACTCCATGTTCCTGCATGAGGCAACACTGCGATGCAAAGGAAAAACTGGTAACATGTAGCCGGCTGAATACTATAAAGACGGCCTCTCCTCTTGCTTTGTGGCACTGACCCAGCCGCCCGAAAACGTCAGGCGCGGCTGGTGAGGGAGCCCCTGCGAATGCAGGTATGGAGCCTCTAATCCACGTTCCACGCTGGCTGCATTTACGGTATGGCTTCCAACTTCATAACAGCTGTCAGCACGTTTCTTGTCGCAGCATTGTCCAGGAGGTTTGCCGGACCGGGACGCAGAAGGTCCCGTAACCACGCGCGGCTCATGATTAAAATGGAACGTTGCGTAGCACGTGCAAGCAGGTGATTTCTGTCCCAGAGCACAGCCGCTCAAGAGACTCCGCCCCGGTGGGCATCTTTGGGCAGAGGAGCGGCTTTCCATCGCGGATGTGTCCTCCACGCAATGCGTGACCCTGCCGGGCCAGGACCGGGCTTAGGCTTAGGGCTCGAGCAGGCGTTTGTGCTTCCTGTCCTCATTCTAATTTGCCCCCAGCCCGACCGCCCAACGGCCCGACGAGACAATCAGCTGCAAATTACAAAACTGGCAGGTCCTCACGAGGACCTTGCGTTGGCACAACTCATGACTTCATGGTTCCTCAGGGCCAAGCTCCCCATGAGACCCCGACATCAGTCGAATACCAAAATCAGTCAAAGTATATCAGTGGCTGCGTCGCAGCATCTGAAAAAAAGCGGGAAACAGTGGGACTCAGGCAGTGCTCTGCAGAGGCAAGCCCTGGTCCCTGGGTGTCCGTTGGTGTCCGGGCGGGCAGGTGTTCTGTCCGTAAACGGCTGCCCGTTGCAGTCGTGGCAGGCCGGGGCCGGGACATGAAGGAAATGAACGCCTTCATGATGTCATCCCTCATTTCCTCACTGACAGACTAGGCCGGCCCCAGCTTTTGAGCGTCACTACTTTGGCAACAGGCCATGTGCAGCACCAGGAGCAAGGAGAACCAGTCAGAACAGTGCTGGCAAACAAAGTTGCCAGCACCGGAGTATGAGTTCTTTGGGAGTGCCCATCCAGCAGTTCTACCACATGATGCGTATGAGACCCTACTGGAAATACGAATTTAATAGGGGCCCTCCCAAAAAGCGGAAACATTCATGCGGGATGGGCCATGAGCTGAAGCCTTGGCTTCAAGGCCGCAGCCCGCAGAAGCTGCACATGTGCCATCTCAAGAATCCCACTCTGAGAGCATTCGACCCGACGGGGCCGCTGTCTGGATACACCAGGCAAATTAAAACTTACATGCGCGAAGCCATTTAACCTGAATCTGCCTGCCAACATTCACAGTCAACCTCTAGCATCATGCATCAAGTCGACCCATGAAGACGGTATTCAACGCATGGCCCCTGCGCATGGAAGCGGAAGATTAGTTTGTACATGGATTCATCCCTGTCAATCTCGGCATGATGCGGCTCTTTTTGCATACTGGATTACGACACAATAGCAAGTGTCAGAACAATCTGATGAGGACATCTCCGGATACCAAGAATGTAGATGTCAGCATACTGAATGTAGAAAGCAGGCGAAGTGCGCATCACCCGCTCAATCATCGCCACCACCGCCTGCAGCCACAAAGGAACTGTCCGACACGAAAGTAGTAGGGACTCGCACATCCGTGATAAGCAGCACAACGACCACTCCGACAATAAACAAACATCTAGTTCCCAGGCGAAAGCCAGCTCTCCATGAAAATCATATACAGCCAGCTGCAAACACCTGCCTCCCGCAGGGGCCGGCAAGGGCAAGAGGTTTGTGGGCGAGGCAATAGGAATGGGCTCCTCAGAGACTCGCTCCTGCCATAGCGCTGCAGCTGCTCTGGAATGATGAAATGCCTGAACATGCCCAACTAAGTCTAGGGAGGCAAAGCGCATTCGGCCTCAGACCCCCTTACCCTCCCTCTTGGGATGCAGAAATTTTGGATCCACCTGGCCTGCATCCAGTGCGGAAGGATCCCTTCAGGCAGGCTGCAATGGTTGCAGAGTTTCACTGTGGGCTAGCGATATCACTTCATGCAAATGGACACTCACGTAGGTATGTGATGATGCGTTGTCTGCATTCCAAGGGATTGATCAACAAGTCTTGCGAAAGCGATTGGCGCCTTGAGCAGAGGCCTCTTGCGCGGCATTCTGAGCCTTGAACAGCGAAGTCTCACGAGTCTTCTGCAACTGTGCAGGGCTTGTCACTCACTTACGCGCCGGAGCTCAAGCAATTCCAAGTCTGACTCTTTCAAAGTTGCAAGCAAATCATGGCCCCCTGCATCACGCAGCACGCGGCTCGCCCAAGAGAGCTGCGCCTCAGCGAAGGCTCTGAGCAGTCTGAGCTCCGCAGTAGCCGCAAAATTCCCGCTCAGCTCCCCACGACATCCCAGCCGAAGCGTCCGCAGTGGCGGCCCTGGCGCATAACGCAATTGTTTGTCGCGCAGTCCGCAATGTCAGAGCACTTCAAGACTGTGTTTCTGCCTCTCTCGTCTCGTTCCGTCCGGCCTTGCCCGACCGAGCAAACTCTCTGCAAACGAGAGACGAGCTTCTCACGCACTCAGCCGTCCACACCGTTCTCATTCACCAGCCGCACTGCACGGTCGTATGCTTCCTCAATCTCCTCCATCCACGCGCCCAATGCTTGCCACATGTCAGCAGGTTTTATAGCTTTCTGTGCTGCAAAAGGTGTTAAACTGCTATACGGCTACAGCTGCACTGAAACCAAACCTGAAGGGTCGGAACGATGACGCCCTGTAGACCGAGAAGCCTCGGAAAAGGTGCTGTGCTGCCATACACTGCCAAGTATCATGGGGGGGCATGAGCCTCTTGGCAGCGACCACCCGCGCACTGCTCACACGCCGTGGGCTCCGGTGCTCACCTCTGTTGGTAACTGGAGCAGGCTTCTGCTTGGATTCTGGCACTCGCTGTTCTGCTTCGCACCTTCCTGAGCCTTCTCATGGCATTCATCCTCATCGCCATCATCCTCTTGATGAGCTCTCCGCAACAATGCAAGTAATAGAGAAAGAAAAGCGTAGTGAGTAGGCCCACTTGCCTTCTCAAGCTCATTCCACGGCTTTGGCAGCCGAAATCCAAGCTTCAGCATCCTAGCGGAGGTGTTTTGCACTGGTTGAGAAGTTCTTGACGGAAGCCTCACGGCCGCACACCTGGGTCCTCTTGAGTGAGTTCTATACAAAAACCCCTAACCTGTAGCCAAGTGTCTGTCGATGCTGGCGCGTACGGAGACCACCTGGTGAAGGGTGAGGGGTATCTTTCCGACAGGTGCAGCAACACATGTTCGGTCTTTTCAGCCTAGGCATTTGCCCAGTCTCAAGAATCATCACTCTTGCTACGACTCCCTGCCAGCGAAGAGCTAGTTGAGGCGGCCGAGGAGCGAATGAAGTCCGGAGGCTCGCACGTAGCAATCACCACCTTCTTTGCACAGCTTGGAGCTCTTAGGCGGCAAAAGAATCATGCGGTGCACTCAGCAACAGGCATAATAATCGCCGGAGGTTGGCCAGTACCATCTGAGCCAGGTGTCCTTGCCGTTAAGTAGATGCAACGTGGCCGAAAAGCTGTTGACTGCAAATCCAGGCAGTGGGCCATTGGGAACTGAATCCAGCGAGAGGCGTTTGACCTTCAGCAACTGATCCGTGGCTGGCATGGCATTGCCTGTGGGCACTGGCTGTCATCAGGTACGGGCCCAGCAGCAGGCTGTACGAAACGGCGCCAGCGGCGGCCCTTAGGCCCACGGGCTTGGGGGGAAGTAGAGGCTGAGAGAATCATCGCACCTCATCGCCTTCAAGGTTCTCGCAGAGCTCACCATGGCCTCCTGCAATTCGCTGAGCCAAGGCGGGGTGAGGGCAAGCTTCCGCAGCCTGCCTTTGCACCCATCCGTGAAGCCTCGGATGCAGCTTATAACACACACACAACCTCACTTCGTGTACATATAAGTTCAGCGCATAGAGCAGACGCGGGAACGCCTGCGCCAGTTGAACTGTCGAATGCTTTCTATGCCGGCATGTTCTCACCGCATGTCGTCTTAGGAAAAGATGATTGACCACAGGTCCTCCACAGTATCTACTGTGCCTTGAGCACGAGACTTCCGTCATGCACTGTTGCAGAGTCTGGCATGTCGAGCCTGAATTGCCTTGCCCGTCTTTGTCGATGTGCGAGGGCTCAGGACTTGCCGAGCCATCCTGCACAAGTGACAGGCTGAAAGAGCTCTGATTCCAATGTCGCCCGTCTGGATTCTACTCTTCCTTATCACATAGTCGGATATGCAAGTCCACTGACTGGAACTTGTGAGGTTCACAAACACAGAATTGCAACAGAAAAAGGCAAGAGGCCTCCGCGTCCGGAAAGAAGGGCGTGTGCAGATTCACAGGGAGAGTACGATGGGCTCCGTTGAAGTTTACCTCGCTGCACCAGAGGGGCTACACTGCTACACATGTTTTAGCCACCAGTACACACAATCCAAGCTGCGGAGGAGGCAAACTTCTGAATGCGGATAGTGGTGAAGTCCTTGGTGTTCTTCTCTTTTTGCAAGTCCCGTCGACATGCAAAAAAATCTTGCCATCATGAGGCCACCACAGTGTCAGGCACCTCCAAGCGAAAAAGTTGGCAGAGCAGCCTGCATCCAATCCAAACTCACATGCAGCACCTTGAATGCTATGACTCATACCATTGAAGCCTCGGCAAGCGGAGAGGAATGCCGTAGTGCCTGGTAACGAGTCTCCCTGGAGAAGCTGGGATCTGGCTGCTTCCAAATGCCTGTCCGTGGCCGTGTCGAGACTGTAGTGCGACCTGCTTTCCACATATACTCATTCAGCTCCAGCTTTTGAAGTATGGCACCAGAACTTGGGAGAACTCTCAGTCTCTCGCCCATTCAAGCCCAGCACATAGGCAGCATGGACGAATGGGAACCTGGTCAGAAGCCCAACTTCTCCAGTCCTACTAGTGACTAGTATGTAGTTCAGCACGGGTCTGATTTCCAACCACCTATGAGTACCACTCTTGGCTCTGCTACGTCTCCATTAGGACATGTAGCCTTACAACCATGGTCCGAAATTGGTCTTGAGTGAATTGTACCCGACTCTTCTTTTGCTACTGACACTCCTAACACTCTTGAAATCGCAGCTGTGCAGGCTGGGCACTTGGTCGCACGAAGCAGCTCCAGGACTGCAGCTCGGAGCTCCGCGACCTCTGAAGCCAAGGAATACGCGGCAGTGCTGAGCATGAAACTTGATGCCAAGTAAGGCCAACTGCAGACTTGCGCATGGGTGACATGCAACGGGCTTTTTGAACACTGGCCAAGCCTAGCTGCGAGGGCAGAGATGGCGCACGTCGCACTGCGATGGTGTTTCACACCCCACGAGAGCTTTACAACAAAAGCGTCTGTTGGAGAGAAGTGTTTACACGACCGAGGCCGCGCTGGCCAAGTAGGAAAAGTCGTTTCCTGAGCATAATTTTTTGAGCCGCTTGCACGGCAAGCGGGTTCTACAAGGAACCGGCTGCGCAGCCGGGGATTGGAGGTTGAAAGCCTTCTCATGCATCCTGCAAACCACTGCGAAGCACTGCGGAGCTGTTTCACAAGATTCGAAAGTCTGTCGTGCCGGTGCTAGCTGAAGATACTGGTCTATTCTGCCAACAGAGCCAGGACATGGGAAAACCTAAGGACCTCCCGGCCAGTCCTTTTCGAAAAAGACCTGGTGCAGCTTCTGGGAAGCCATCAGCAGCTGTTGGCCCGGGAGCACGAACGTGACGTTGACATTCGAAGCTCCATGAGACACCATCTCCAACTTAGCGCACTTCAACTATTTTCGCTGGACCTGTGAAGCCCTTGTTTCTAAATGTGCAGACAAGTCACGCTGATCCCCATCTCCTCAATCCATCACGCTGCAATCTTCACATGCACACAGCCAAGAGTCATGCAGCAGACCCAACCTAATAGCTGCACAAGTCGAGAAACAAACTCAGAACAAGCCCAGTAAAAAGAGAACGATGAGAAGGAGTAGAGCAAAAACAAGTCGAGGCCTGGGTTGATCCATCCTGGTATGATTTGGTATCTACATCCCTCTGCTTCGAATCTGTATAGAGGTGAGAGCTGGTGCTTTAAGTTGATGATCAGAAGCGACTGTCCAAGCCAAGCAAGCCAAGCGTCCTCAAAGGCTGCGCAGGACTCTTTCAGCACACTGACGGAATCTGTCTTGTGAGTGATGAGCGTCAGCATGGACATGTCGTGGAGCACTGATACCTGCTGAAGAACTCTGCAAGTGCATCTCCTGTCTTGTTATTTGCAACGTTCAATGCGGCCTTGGCAACTTCCCTGAGCTCCTCCTCGATGGCAGAAAGGTCAACGTGTTTGTAGCCTGCCGGATGCCGCATGCAAGTGGCTGAAGCCCTGAGCTATGCGCATTGGGCATTGGGTGTTCGAATTGTTCGGTGCTGAGCGTAAGAATGCACACTGCACACTGTGCGAGCATGGGAAAAGCAAGCCTTCATCCAGCGTCAGTGACACGGTAACTTCTGAGGTGGCGATCACATCCACCGATGCAGCGAACTTGTTGAAGACTTGGAAGACATGCGCCAGAAAGCCATGCTGTCCAAGCATTCGACCTCTCTCCAGCGCACAGCACAACAAATGTAGATATTGGTTCCCTGACTGCACACATGCAAACCGAACCGTGCACATCAGGCGGCTTTATGCAGCACCCGGCTCTGTGCAATGCAAGAATCAGGCCGTCGGCCACAGCTGCTCTAAAAGGACAGACAGAAGGGATAGAGAGCTTTGCATTAAAGCCTGTAACTGAGGGGCAGACTGCTTTTAATTACCTCGGCAGAAGTCCCAGGCAAGATTCAGGATGAGCTTTGCACCAAAGCCACTTTTTAAACAAGCTACTATCATGGTGATGTTCTTCTTGGAGCTGATGGCAGCTACTCGACCCTCCCGGGTATCTTGGCCACCCAGCTCCGGAACGATCCGAGTGCCTACGACATGAAACCACCTCTCAGCCAGCTGCCAAGTGCTGCAGAGTGCGCCTGGGAGGTCCGGGGCCATGGAGTTTTTGACGCTCATCGGGACGCCGGCACTCCAGGCGGGCAAAACCGCGGCAGGGTGGACAACCTTCGAGCCAAAGGTTGAAAGCTCCGCGGCTTCCTCGAAGGTGAGGACATGCACCTCGCGGGAAGAGGAACGCTTACCGTTGCTAAACAGGGAATGCCTCTTGTCAATGAATTTGCCCTTCAATTTCAATGCTTTCCCAGCCACCGGCTTGGCAGCGGAGATCACGCGCGGGTCTGTGGTTTGCACCCCACTGACGTCCTTCCAAATCTGGACCTCCGACGCCTTGGTGGCGGCCCCGATCACCGTGGCCGTGAGGTCGGAGCCATCCCGGCCCAAAGTGGTGATCACGCCCTTGGAGTCCTTCAGAAACACGCTAGATCACGCTAGAATAGCTCTACTAAAACTGTCATGATCTATCAGCATACTGTCTGTCCTTGGCAATGTAGCCCGTGACGATGGGCACGTAAGAATAATTCAGCTTCAAAGGACCAAGGTTGTGTTTGATGGCCTCTTGCACATTGCTGCAAGCACCGTTCTTGCACAGGGATTTCATGTTGCCAAGCCAAGGGGCTGCATAGGATTCTTCCAGGATCTCCACGGAGGAGAAGGCCGAGTCTGCACTTCCGGAGCCGCTGGTGGTCTTCATGCCCACGTGCCAGGCATCTAAGGCCTTTGCCTCTGGCTCCTCACCCACGCATACCCACGCCCTCTCACAACACTGTCCCACTCGAACGAGCTGCCTTCTGGGTTTGTGGACAGAGCATCTGTCTGCTTCTCACATCCTACGGCATCATCTGGATGCAACACCTACAAAAAGCGTCAGTCCTGGGGATCTTTGCGTGAGGAGTTGAAGGCCGCTGCGAAGGTTCGGACACTGAGACGCTCGCCAAAGGAGACGATGCGATCCCGGGTCTGCATGGAAATCTCCTGCTTGCTGCACCACGGCCAAGGACATGCGAAACATCAAGGATATTGCTGAGTTCAAGCTGGCCTTCAGGAGAGCCACGCCACTGAGAACCTTCTCCAGCTCATTTAAGAGCTCGGTGACCGATTCTGGTATGTCAACCCTTAGCTGACCCCTTGCACACTGCTTCTTGCAGGATGAATCCATAGACATCCATAGACTTCTCCAAGCGTCCCAAGCTCTTTCAAGGTGCTTTCATGCGTTTTCCTGCTGCAGGCAACCCTTCCAGACGCTTCACGTGAAGAACTTCAAGTTCCGGCTGCATTCTTCAAGCCCCGCAGTCCGTATCGCGGAGACGTCCACCTCACCCGTCTCCAGGGCTAAGTTGGCGGCGTGGAGGAGTGCATTGGTGGTTTTGCCCATGGCGCTAGCGACCACGACAGGCCTGCTCGGCAGAGCCTGCCATGCAGAGCAGGGCATGATTCTAAGGCATTCCATTTCCTCGGCTTTGTTGTCCTTCCACGGGTTTTTCAATTCCAAAATCAGACTTGTTTGGGTTGCTGCCATATTAAATATTACAAGTCGGCTTCGTTTAAACGATAAGGCTTGAATCTCAAGACTCAAGAGCTTCAAATCGTACAGCTCCACTCGGTAGCAATGCTCTGCCCACGCCTCAACAATTTCCCTGAGATTGTCCACTGAGAATATTTCAGTAACGTACTTACCATCCCCAAGGTGAATTTCCTGACTCAGGGTTACCACAAATTAATGTCTAGTTTTTGGGGGGCTACGTAAAAGCAAGTGCAACGGTACCATACAGGAAAGGATCCTTCAACCCTTCGACCCCTGCGGCCTTCCGTACAATGTCGGAGCAACGCAGCAGGTGCTTAGCACTAGCCACAGAAGTGCCACCGAACTTCATGACTAACAGTTTCTGCGGCGCAGTCTGCGAAAGCTCCTAACATCTCCAAGTGCACAAGCTCTTTGAGTACAAGCACAAGAGAATCACACGTCAAGCTTTAGCAAAGCTGCAGTGGACTGCACGATCGGGGAATCTGGAGTATGCAGCCAGTGAGATGTCTGTGCCACCTTGGCAAGCTGACACGGCAGCTTGACGCATGAAGGTCTTCAGACCATAACATCATAAAGTGAAACCTAGCGCAAAAAAATCCTCTGAGGTCTGCGCAGGTCTCTCGAAGAAGCGCGGCAGCTCTGCAGGCTCCTCCAGCGTGATCGAGTCCTTGGAAGTTCCAAATGCTGGGCGGGTGCAGTAGGACTTAGCTCCGTTGCTTGGGCAATTGTGGGCATGGTGCAACTCATGTGGGTCTCTAACTATGAACTGTAAAAATGCTGCTGCATGCGGCAGAAGTCACCACAATGTCATTGGCACAGCTGGAGAATGTCATCACGGGTGAAGCCGGGCCATTGGAGCTTGGCACCTCCATCGTGGCAGTCTTTGGCCTCTCTGCCTCTGCAATGCTCAAGGCTCAAGCGGCAAAATCGGTGGCTTTGCTGGGTTGGTTGCGTAAGTGTGCTCCAGAGTGAAGTAAACATGTATTGTGAGGTTTGGTGTGGAACTACAGTGTAACTACAGCACATGGCATTTTTGCACAGGACTCCCCCTCCAGGGGAGCGCAAAAAGCAGCTTAAGCCAGTCAAAATCGCTGCGCAAAGCCCATCTCCGGCAGTTGCATTCTCCCAGCTGATGACGTGTCTAGCTGGATGGGCTTGCGTCACGTCAAAGCTTTCTGAAGTGCAGGCTTAGAAAGCAGACTGAGCATCGCCACACGAGCCGCGTGCGCGAGCGCCGACCCGTGGCAGCTGCCTGTTGCGATTCGAATCACTGCCAGACTGCTGCACTGCAGACTGCGAGGCCGGTGCCGACGCGTGCGCAGCGACGCAGCTGTGCCAGGCCCTGGTATGGCTGTCGCTCGCGTAAGGCACTTCCTACAGCTTGCCCAAGCCTGCGCATCCAAAAGCTGGAGGAGCCCCAACAGGCACTCCGGCAGGCTGAGCAAGAGCACCTGGAACATTATCTGTTACTGCCAACTTAATACGACTTTCAAACAGGCAGCTCTAAGCCCAAGGCTCCCATGGATCGAGTCATTTCTGCCTGAGTTGACCAGGTTCCACAAGTAACCATAGACCATAGCCCACTGACCCGGCCATATGGTAAGTTCTGGGCACAAGGTCTGCGCAGGTAGCAAAGCGCTGCCAAGCTCAAGGTGTTCTTTTACGTACGTCTGTAAGCAATCCAAAAGGAAGATCTAGAAAAAGCAGCAAGGTGTGTGTACGCCCCATGTTCTCTTGTAATGACATGAGCTGACCTGAGTGTGAACCGAAGGAGCCCGGGTAGTGATGAATCATCATGCGGACACACCACAGCACACAGACCAGCAGCAGCACACAGCAAGTTTGGCAGACATGAAGCTGTTCAACAGGAGCACTGCAGCGGCGAACACCTCACCTCCCGAGCCCACTTTGCAGGCTCTGCCTGACAGTGCGCAGATTAGGGAGAGGTTGGCACAGGGCTGCAGGCTGCTTACATGTGCTAGATCAGAAGACAGATGCCTCAATGAATGAGACTATCTCCCATCGGCCACATAGCTGGAGCCAAATGTTTCCAGGTTTCTGACAGCAATGCAAAATGCAAAGGCGAAGGTGGACCCGAAGAAGGCATGTTGCTGTTGCAGGCAGTGGAAACTAGCTTGCAAGCAAGAACTCTGATTGATGCTGACCGCACATTAGCTATACGGTGTTTGCATTGCGTAGAAGTGTCTGGATCAACAGAAGCGTCAACATGTTGGAACCAGATTATGATTAGGGGCCACAACTTACATGACAGGCAAAGTGGCAAGCTGCCATTTTACGAAGCAATAGTTGCACACAACCTCAGGGTTGGCGAAAAATGATGGTCGTGCGCGTGGGCTCCGAAGCTCACCACTTGCTTCTAGCCATAATGTACATGGGTCATCTCTTATTCCAATAGATCCTGCTGGCCACTGTCTTCGCAGCCATGCGGACCTACACTAAGATGTCAGATTCAAGCCTGGCCCAGCCATACTCGCGAAGTCCTCTGGGCAGGGCCTGTTTCTTTCACTCCACGTTGAAGAGGGACGTGTGCACGCGGAGCTTGGCGAGATCAGCAGACTCCTGCAGTAGCGCCCGGTCAGGGCAAGATTATGCCTTTCACTACACCGCAGTCTTAGACACCCGGCGCTATAGCTCAGATTACTGAAGGGTCAGATTGAGGACCCACTGACCTTCAGAGAAAGAGCACGACCAGTAGCAGTTAGTCATCAACCCTTTGGTTTCCAGGGAGCCGTCACACCTGACGGCCCAACTTTGCCACTTTGCCCGCATAAGCAACAGCGTTCGCAAGATCCAAAGCGTGGAATAAAGCCGTTCATGACACAGGTCGAAAACTGCAGTGTGAGTCCTGAATGTGAAGCACCCAGCCATCTTCGGCCAGCTCTGCCTAGTCCGTTTCCCCATGCCCAAGCCACTGTGTTCCCGCACTTGCTACTTGCTGCAGCGTCGGAAGTGCAAAAGCCGCCTGGATCTTCAGCAGATTGCGCTCCACTTCGCAGACCCTCGAGCCTTCCTCCTGCGGCAAGCAGGGAATCTCTAAGTCAGACCCGGTCTCTGCCCCCAAAGGCCTCTTCTCTGGAGACCTGGGAAGGGCCAGAAGCTACAGGCGGCAGCAGACAGATGGAAAGCACTGTGGCGCACGGAAGAGTCGTAAAGACAATGGGATCCCAACGCTGCTCTCGATGTTCTGATAAACGTCGATGGCGAAGGCAGACAGCACCTGGGAGGCTTTGGAGCACTGCTGACTTTCTACGGCTACTACCTTCACCAGAAAGTGACAAAAGTCCTGCTGTAAAAAGCATCGCCAGTCAACCAGCTTCGGATTTCAGGCGGGCACGTTGTAGGCCAAGAGGGGTGATGCCACGTAGAATGAGAGCAGGAAGGTCCAAATCACAGCCTGCAGCAGGGACCTCTACGATGGGGACGACCGGAGTCCGGAGTAGCATGTCACAGTCCGCTTGAAGCTTCATGTATGAGAATTCCATGGACTTCCCATTTCTCTTTCCCTGCCTTTGCTAAATCCAAAGCTCCGACCCTGAAGCTGTCCAACTGAATTTTCGGTCTGTTGAGAGGTTTCCCTATGGAGCTTTCTGCCACGCACCTTCTCCATCGAGTACGGCTCTGCCAGCTCCTTGGCTCATAAGAATGTACCCATTCAGCAACGGATGATGAAAGCACAAAAATTGTCAGCCGACCCAGAAACCTGGTCCATTCGAAACAAAGAAATGGCTTGCCGACGGTCTTTTTTGAGGCAGCAGCCGCAGGATTTCCGCGAACATGTTTGAGGCACTGATTGTCATGAAATAAAAACTTCAAACAACTCTCAAGACTAAGGGCCAAGGCACTAAGCACGCGGTGGCCAGATCATCATTCCACTCTCCAAGGGTCCACATCTTAGCCAGCAAGGGCTGGATTCAACAGATCTTCTCCAAAGTTCGCTGCAGAAAAAAGCACAGGACCCGACGAAAAGCGTCATCATCCCCATTAGCACATCATTGAAGTTCAGTACCTGCATGCACATCGTCCAAAATGTTGTTCCACTCTGGCTTGGATGAAAAGAGATGCTCTGACTTCAATCTGCCTGATATTGGTTTTCAAAGTAGCCCAGATCCTCTGGAAGCCGAGGGTTCGAAGGCACCAAACGTCCTCCAAAGACCTGGACCTGGGCAACGGTCGGCTGCGCTCGAGCAAAGACACGTCCACTCCCGCTTTTGGGCGGAAGGAATTGGTAAGGGCCGTGCACCAATAGAGGCCCAAAGCAGAACAACCAGCATGTTTAGCAGGAGAACCTGCCAGCAAGCACGACTCTTTATCCCGCGCCGTTGAAACACAGCAATCCCCAGCGCAATGCCTCTCGGCAAGTGCTGAAAAGCTTCCCTACCTTTGCAATCACCATGTAAGGCATGTCACGGCGGTTCTGCTACTGTCTGATAGTGGTCATGATGGCTTGAAATCGCCCTCAGCACCGCGCTATCATGCTCGTACGTTTGTAGGTCTTCACATGCTTCAGGGCTTTCAGGACCCGCAGCAAGCGAAGCACCTCAGACAGGCACCCGGCCATTGAATAACCTGTTTCTGCTACAGGCTAATGCTTATGTCATACTACGTCATGTCTTGGAAATGCAGCAAAACGAAGTAACGACAGTCATGCCGAAGTGCCTTTGGCACTTTCCCTAGGTTTTCGCATGCCCCATGAGTTCAAGCACTTGGGATTGCAACATTTCAGCTGCAACCAAACCACATAGAAAGCGCACATGTTTAACCCTAATGCACGCAGACATTCTCCATGCGGAACGAATCCTTAGAATCTTACTGAATGATGGATGGGCATAAGCCATGCGTAAGGGATACTCGCGGAAGCCGGTTCTGGAGTAGTGACCACAAACAAACTTGTCCTTACATGGATATAACACATGTGCTCAAAGCCTAGACACTAAGAGACCAAAACCCTGCTGCTTGCAGGGTTTAGGGCTGCTGTGGCGCAGCGTTCTCAAGCACCATGTCCAAATCCTAGGAATCCTGTAAACCCAGTTGGGAGTGCACAAAACTCAGCCTACACCATATGCATTGAACATAAAACCAGGTTCAACACGACATTTCGCCACACCTCCACGGCAAACCAAGCACCATCTAAACGCAGCCAAAGGCAGAAATTGTTGGCATGTCGAGAGTTTTGACAGACGACTACGACTGCAAAGGAAGGAAACCTTTCGTCCAAGTGATTGCAGAACATCAAGCCAGTGCAGAATGACTTAGGCAGGTTCCTGCATGCTGTGCTCTACTAACCAAGGGCACGTTGGCACTGCGCAGCGTCTCTACAGGGATGTGGTGCACGGTCAGGAAGACGATGGCAACCTTGACCATTTTGCACCCTTCGTGAGCTTGACACAGCTGAAAGCATGGTTGGCCATAAGAAGACACGCTTCTTGCAAGGACTACGCAAATGTGCTGAAATACGGCCGTCCTCCAAACAGAGTGTTAAATGAGAGGTGCACTCAAGGCCGGGACAGCACTCAGAATGATGCTTGTGATAAAGTCGAACCTGAAATTGCATTCGTGAGCTGGCTTTCATAGAGACAGGAACTCAGGCTGGGAAACCGGCCTGTTGTCGCCGTGGAACCAATATTCTTCCCAGGACCAATAGCAGAGCTTCAGGATTGCCTCGCCGTCAGGGGGCCAAGCGGTTTAATGTCTGAATCACTCCTGGTTATCAACTCTGCCTCAAACAGATAGACCAAGGAGAAGAATAGGTCCACGTTGACCACCCAGCTCGGCTCCTGCGTCCCAAAACCATGTCGTGTATTTGCGAGCCGCGGGCTTGTCTTCAGCAGGCGTGTCCTGGATGTCATTCATGTCGAAAACGGACTCGCCAATGACCCAGACCACATTGAGAGTGACGATGAGGTTCATGATCTTGGTACTTTGCCACAAGGAGTCCCTCTAGTATGCAGATGGATCCTTAGGAAGCCAGCCACGTCCATCTGCGAGCCTGGATATCGTGAAGCGTAGCCTCTGCGAGTGGCTGACCAAATCTGGTTCTGTCATGGAGAGGTATATACCCTATAATCCCTATACAACCCCTATACATGTTATTTTCCATTATCCCATCTCTAAGAGGCCTGGCCTAGGTTCGGCCCTTTCGTGCCATTTTCCATAATTGCCTGCATCCACCTCCAGGGTCCGGCTAATGCCAGAACTCTAGAACACATGATCATAGAAACAGGTGAAAGGCATTGTAAAGCCATCTGAAGCAACCCTGCGTGCTGACCTCTCCGCACATGTGCCAGTGAAGCACTCTCTCAAGGCGGCATCACGCTTCGTGATGTCAAACTTGAACCTTGCAAGGGCATCTAGCGCCTGCAACACTGAAAAAACGTAGCTCCTTTGTGACAAGATGGACAGAGTTGCTCTACAACTCGAAAGGTCCGATACCATTATTTCCTTCGCCGACGAGCAGCTGAAGCACGTCGCACATCTCCTGCACTGTGACAAGTGTAGAGTTGTAGTTAAATAGAGCCTTTTGAGCAGCCCATGGCCCGCAGTCCTCAAACTCAGACCATTCCAACACGCCATCAAGATTGTCGTCCAGCGCGTCGAAAATGACCCGTAGCATGTCCTTTCAGATTGGAAAGCCGAAGCACGCGGAGGCGCGGAGGCACCTGCGACCCCGAACCAGTCTAAGCCGCGAAGCCTTGGTGGCCGACATCTCCAAGAGGACACTCATTGCATCCACCAGACGCTCGAAATCCTGAAACCTGCAAAGGCCATAGCGGGCATGCTAGAAAATGGAAGTCGGCAACTCTGAATTCGGAGCTTGAGAGTGGCCTCACCGCTTTTCCCTTCTCATGGTGGTCGTCCCTCCTGACAGCTGATCAGGCCGGCAACTTTTTCGACTCTGAGTTGTGAGCAAGATGTGTAAGATTGACGCTGTTACATGCTGCCAGGCCACAGCAGGGCAAATGCGCACTCAATCCCAGATTGTCGGAGCTTGCGACCTGTGGGGCAAGCACGGCACATCCCAACATGAACTGGACATAAACAGAGCGGGCCAAACCTTTCACCAAGTTGTTCTTGGCATGCTGGCTGTAATCATTGTAGACACCAGCAAGGATCACCTATGCCCGGAAGGCCGGTCATTCTGTTCAGTTGCCTTCAGAGTCCTGCCTGCTTGAGGAGCACAGAACCCATAAAGATGAAAGGTAGCCTGGCCCCAGGTTCACAATGACCCAGATCAATTGGGCGGACTTCTGAGGGCCCGTCCACACGAGAGCATAGGCCCGTCGCAGGCTGTAGGTTGGCACCTCAAGTCCGTGAAAGGTACACAAGTGCTTGTAGCTCCTAAGTGCACCGCCGGCATGAGCACAGCACCATGGCATCTGGCAGCGTTGCCGTTGTCAGAGCTGCAAAGCATGTGTACATTGAGTCGCTAAACCTTTCAGACCGGGGAGCGTTCAGCCATGTCCGCAGACACCCAGAACATGCAGCTTACCACAGCAAGCTGAGGCAAGGACGAAGTGAAGCCTGTATTTGCTGGAGTACCAAACGGGTCATTCTCCTCTCCATGCAGAGCATGAACAATCATACCAATCTCCAGTCCCTAGTGAAGATCAAGCAGCGTGCTTGGAATGCAGATTTGCAGAATTCAGCAGGCAATTAATTGGGCATGGTTGAAAGCGCCGGAACAATCAACGAGCCTGCAAATCATCAAACATGGAGGCAGTCACGAACGCAAAGAGGATCACTGTATAGACCAGGAACATTCCAACCTGAACGAGCCCAAAGTTGGCTCATCACAAGCCCTGGTCCCATGCTCTGAACTCATGGAGCTTTGCTCAAAGCACAGCTTGCCACCTTGCTAACAGCTTGCGTCGTTCGGAAGAAGGACAGCACCAACTCCTCCCATGGGTAGGCGCTGCACATGATGCACTTTTTATTTGTTGTCTGGGCAACTGATCATTGGAAAATTGGTGAGTGTGTTATCGTTTTCCAGTGTCCGGGGATTATGTTGTCGTTATGGTTTGTGGTGAGTGCGTCATCGCTTTCCAATCAAAACCCTGCGTCATGCATCCAGTGTCCATCCTTTACATATCTCCTATGACCGATAAAAATAAACACACATCATCCAATCCCCCAGGAGTCCAGGGAGCTCATGCTAGGTAGACGTAACCTGGCTGGCTAAAGCGCCCTCAACGCCTGCAGCCGTGGAACGGCGCATGCGGCGAGGCCGAACCTGGCATTGTTTGGGCCATTCTGCATAAGTCGCAGCTCTCAAACCACTTCTCATTGATACCTTGCCCCCTTGTTGTAACACCCTTCCCCCCTTTCTGAATGTAAAACGGAAGATGATGCGGGCCGCGTTCACTCCGGACATGGACATGTGGGTAAAGCCATGCTCACTCATGGGGCCAGTTGGAAAAACATATTACAAAACTTTCTTTTGGCCCTGACAAGGCACTCCTGCTCGAGTGATTGTGAAAGAATTCGGATTCTGGCCAACCAGTATGGTTCGCCGAGAATCAAACGCAGGCGAAGACTCAGACTTGAAGCAAGCGCTTAAGGCGACTCTCTCCCAAAAAGTTGGCCTCAGGACCGGAGCGATCCGCCGTGTGGAGCCCGCAAAGAATGCAGCCAAGTCCTGAGAGCAGTTACCGAATACAATGACCGAGGCTGTGGATGCGCGCTTACAAGAAAACAGAGACGATAGATTTCTTCAATAAACTATTCTATACTGTTCTATACCAGAATATACTACCTAGGAGTCTCAGACTTGTTCTGAGCTGCCCACGGCGAAGCTCAAAAAGATCAGCGAGGCCTCCAGCACGAGCCGTCCTTGCAAATCTCAGGGCGCTAAGGACCTCATGATGCGGAACCCCAGCCTGCTGTGGTGGTGTGGCCTGCCAAGTACCCCAGATCATGGTGAGATCGCTGATAATGGTACTACGAATTTAGAAATAAGAATATAGTAGTAAGAATAATACTCCTATGAAATGCCGTAAGGTTCCGACCGTGGCCCCGCACGGCCACGAAGAGCCTCAGGTGCAACCTCGGCTCAGACTGTCAGATTCGTGAAATCCGTACTTAAGATGCTTTTAGGCCCTCTGGGGCCCCGGGCACGAAGTGCAGCAAGAGGAACGCAAGGATGAACAGCTCAAGGCAGACCTCATTGTGCACATGAATTTCTTGCTTTCTGCACCATGTGCACCTTCCGGGACATAGATTTTGCCCGGCTTGACACTACGCCACTACGCTTCGATGACAGAAACAGCCCTCGACATTTTCCTGAAGAAGGCACCTGCGAGCGTCACAACCAGACAACCGCCGCGTTTTAGGTGCAACTTTGGAGGTCTTTCGTGCGCGCAGTCGATGCGCTATTTTAGTCACTTTTGCTTACTGTTGTACGCGTCATCCATGAGCGCCTGGTAAGCATGAACACCTTTCGACGAACTTTCGTGTTCCAAGAAAACAAACCCGGGTACCTGCGGCAGGAACGCGGCAGGTGATGAAGCAAGACAAGGCAAGACAAGGCGTTTCGAACAACTCCGACATGTTCAGTCCAAAATCGGCCAAGCCCTAAGAGAACGCTGCAAAACATTATGCGAACATCGCTTTAAAAAGGCTCTCGATTTGCTGCTGTGGCGTTAGTTGGTCACACAATGTGCCCATCTTACCATCTGATGCGGCATGACCCAAGTGCTATCTGGAAGCACGCTGACATTTTCCGGTGCCCAACTCATCGAAGTGTGTGTCAGTCAGTAGCACATTGCTTGGTTTGTGGCCCTCGTTGAAAGGTTTCACACACCTTCGGCAATGCCACTCCGGCCTCTGGGCCATTGAATGAAGGACACGCTCGCCCTGCTGCCAGCACGGTACACGCAAATGCAGTTCTACGGACACCCTTCATGCTTGCGGTGCGACTGCATGCCGAGACACCAAAGCTGGCAATGCTTGCACAACTCTTCCGAAGCAGTGAACTGTCCAGACTGCCCGCTCCCACTGCACACAGGGGATGCAAGCAAAATGTCGGACATCGTCCTCACAGTCCACGGTGCTTCAAAATGTCTGGCCAGCGAGGACCTGAGTTAAGCGGCCTGCAGATCAACGCAGCTGTGTAGAAAGCCTCTGCAGCCAATTGTCTGATCCTCGCTGGTTGGAAGCTTCTGGACTTCTCAGGACTGCCAGCAGTTGATGAAAGCCATGACCAAGTCCAAAAAGGGGTGTAAACCGGAGCTTGACCTACTAGCGAGATTTCTGTCAAAGCTCCAAGGGCTGTGTGCCACCATTGCCTGGACAGCCTGCTGGTTCGCAAAACTGACATGACATGGTTCCAAGTGTACCAGCCCTTCTTTAAAGCTGTCTTGGTGTACCCGCCTCCTGATAGACTCCCAGCGACAATCCCGGTCTCCACACAGAAGCACAATGGCCGACAGCACATCATGAATACGAACAGCTGGCTTTGGAATGCGTTTAAGCTCTTGCAGGTAGTAATATGAGGTTCCCGCTACTGCCTGGCGCGCCTTACGCAAAGACTCTGTAGCTTCTTCGGGCAACTGGCGGCGAATCACGGTCAAAGATGCTTCCGCGCGCAAAATCTCCGAAACCATGAGGGGCGAATCGTTTGCAACCAGTACAGGACGAGCATTGTCACGAAGCAAAGCCGCGAGGTTGCACTGCAAAACACCCACGGAACAGGGTCCTGGCTGCTGCATGGAGGTGATCAGCTCACCATTCAATGCAGACCGGAACTCTACGGTGAAGGGCTGCAGCTCTTCGACCGTGTCCGCGCTTACGTGTTCGCCGGCTGTGCTCATCTACATCAGCATCCGTAGCAAGCGCAGGGCCATAGGTCCATAGGTCCAGAGTTGTTTCTGCAGCTCAACGGCTCACAGGATGCAAAGATTACGTCTTGCGTAGCCTTGCGTAGCTTTGCAACTGCCTTGCGACTGCCTTGCCAGCCTTGGCAAAGGGCTGAGGTCCGCACGGCCCAGGCTACAGGGAGATAGGGCAAGCCACTGAGGAGGTATTCCGGGCTGTCAGCCGCAGGGCAAATGCCTGCAAAAAAACGTTCGCAACTGCTGCAAAGGCCACTCCGTCACTCCGTACGGCGAACCTCCTGCAGAGTTCAGCTTGCTGTTGCACCTGTCGATTTTTTAAAGACTCAGGTCCCTCTCTCCCACCCTCTCACCAGAGTGGAGTCTCGACAAGGTCGAGAAAGAGCAGCGTCCAAACAGCCGGCGCTGCCCACTTCTCCAACCTTGCAAGGAAGGCAAAGTTCTCTCACGTTCTCTCTGCTCTTGCATTATCGTGAGAGCAACGGGTCCCCTGCCGGGTCTTGTGCTTGTAGGCGTACCAAGCCGCCGGATTCGTTGGGGGGTCTGTGAAGCCCCTGAGGCGAATAGCCTGCAGGAGCATACAGGGCCCGCCACGTCAACAACTTGCTGGTTCTTAGTTAGTTAATTTTTATGGCTGCTATAGTAGGGAATGAGGGAACACATTCAACAGGTATCATATTCCCATACTCCCTATTCCGAACCGGTTGGACATTCTAGCCCGCGAAGCCGTACTCAACGCCGGGCCGGCGCGCAGATTGGCACTGCAGTGATTCCCAACCTCCCGCCCAAGCACCCAGAGCCTCGTACAAAACCATGGCAGCCTTCCTGACAGGGAAGGCTCAGGCATGCAAAGTCAGCATCCTGCACGGGAAACATCAAGCTGGTATCCGAATTCCATGGGACTGCCATCTCCTACAAGTAGCGAATCTGAGTGGAAGAACCTGAGGACATCTGTTTCAAACCGATGCATCATGCAGCCCCTCTCAAGACTAACATGAAACCCCCTGATGTCGAGGTCATCGACTGACTTTCCAAAGAAGGGCCTCAAGAGTAAGCTCTTGCATCAGGAATAACCGGGACACACCCTCCTAGAATGCACGAAAACGCTGCACATCCACAGAGTCTGCCTGTAACAGTCCAGCTCATTCAGGGGCTCAGCAAGGCCGCTCCTGAAGCTGTGCACAACCTTTGCTCAGCGAAAAAACACTCTTCAGCGGATTCAAGAGCCCATGGTACAATGCATGTAACATATGTAACGCACTGAGCGCAGCTCCCTCCATCTCCTTAATAGACAGGCTTCGTCAGAGCATGCAGAGCCAAGGTAGTCAAGTTCTTGTGAAGCACCTTGCGGCTGATGACCTTCGGGCCCCAACCTCTTCGCGCGAATCAGCGAAGCCGAGGCAGTAGGAGATTGAGAGGAAGTCTCAGCCAGCACATGAATGCTTAAAGCTTAAAGCTGATGACACTGCCTGCTTTGTTCGTTCCCTTACAAGTGGCTCACAGCTTGGTTTTCCAAACTTCCTAAGTTTTTGGGACGGAGTATGGGTGGCATTTCTGCTGAGGATGTCGGACCAAGTCTTGGAGCTCGGATTTGGTTCTGATTTGTTTCGGCCTCCGGCATACAGCAGGCTCTGATGCACTGCTACTGGAGTGGCCCACTCCTGCCACATCCAAAATCTTGTGCGTCCACAAAATTGCATATCATTAGACATTTTCGGTCTGCGCACATTGCCCCATGCCGGCCCTGGGACACTTCTTAGAGGCTGCAAGGCATCCTGCCTCTTGCAAGTCTCGTAAGTAGCTGAATTTGGCATGCGCCACTTGTGGCTGTTAATGATCGATTTTGGTGGTGCTGCCCCCAAATTAAAGCCCACAATACTGTAATGGTTCTTGCACGGCAGCAGGAAATGGGAAGTGCGCATCAACAGCAGGGAATCTAAGGCCGCCAACCCCGTCTGCCACTCGCGACATCACCTGGCGGACCTCCTCGCGGAAGGAAATACGCTTCCTGCGCCAGCGATTCAGAAGCTTCACACCCTCTTCTTAAATGGACATCAGCTCTTGCAGCTCAGACAGCTGCCTCTCTGTTCTCTGCTTCCAAACTGATGCAGGACTATCCGGCTCCATGTGGAGCTCGCGAGCAGCCCATTCATGCATCACAACTCAAGCCATTTCGTGTCAGCCTGTCACTGATTCACTGACCGGATGGTGTATAGTGTATTACAAAAACTATGGGGAAGTTGCGTAATGTATGGACCGTTCTCATATTGATCATGCACAAGTGCAAGCGAGCCAAATGGCTGACAAAAGCCGGCATTCTAACAGAGCCGCGGACACGGAAGCCTGAAGCCGGATCAGCAGCAGCAGCAGCAAGAGGTGCTTTGTCCCTCTCGAACTCACGGCACTAGACTTGTGTAGTGCGCTGTGCACAAAGGTCCGCCTATGCGCTGCAGGATGAGCAGGGCCTTAGCTTCATTGACTGTAGCTTCTACAGCCCGCTGTTGCCGTAGGCGCTCCCCGCAACATTAGTGCGCTGAAGGGCCTGGGAACGGCAAATTGGCTCTCCTGCAATCGTAAACCATGCCATGCGTCTGTACAGGTTCACAGACTCCGTCATTCCGCAGAAGTCTGTGGAGAGCATGGCCTATACAGTGGAAAAACCTGCGGCTTCAGTACGCAAAGCTTTCTGAGCGCAAAGCCGCGGAAGAGAAGCCTGCCGTAGTCCAAGCATCTGTCGCTGCAGACTCAAAGCCGGCAGGGCCGCAAAGGAAGCCCTCGACTTCTTCAGGTTTTGGAGAAGGCAGATGATCCAACAACACCTTGGCAGACAACCTGCCAGCTTCAACCTGGACAGAGTTGATGGAGTTGCCCTTCAGCATGCGGTCCAGCTGGCTCTTCTCGCCGATTGCATCTGGTCCAGTAAGGGAAAGTACGACTTTGTAGCGGATGCCCAAAGGCTCCAACATCGTGCTGGCCGAGGCTAACAGCTCCAAGAAAGCCGCCTGCATAGCAGAGGTCACTTGGAAGAGCTGCGCATAAGTCTTGAGTGCTCCCCTGGCCTCCGAGAGCTTTCGGACCGAATGGAAGATGGTCAATGTCTCTGGCCGAGGAGCCGCCTCGAGGGCACTGATCGCAGCCACCGCCGGGGTGGAGCCGATCCCGGCCTCACAGATGCACAGCGACCCTCATACCTAACCCTAACACAGTGAACCTTCCAGCGCAGCTTGGGGCTCGGGCCGTGAGGAAGATGATGTGGCGGGGCATCGTCTTGCGGAGATCCCCGCTCCTGGGGTCGAGCTGCGGCCCAAATTCACCTGCGAAGCCAAGGAAGTGCAGCCTGGCCGTCTCCATCTCCTGATCCGAACAAACGTCACTTAATTTGATGCCACTGGTGCTGTGCAAGTGGCATAAACTCAACTTCCACAGTAGCGCCTTGCGGGTGAGCTTGTGCAGCCATGTGGAGGCCAGGCCACCCTGCTTCAGTTTCACTGAGATCTGGAAGCGGCCGTGGTCTGCAAACCACTGTGGTGAGGAAGTCACTGTCCAGGTCCGTTCCGGTGCCGAAGCTTCCTTTCCTTGCAAAGCTGGTAAGGCCAGCCTGACATGCTGCCCTGGCTTGAGCACGATCGACCCTGGGCGTGGCAAAGGTGCCAGCTGGAACTCAAAGGTTCGGACGTCCTCTAAAGCTGCGAAAGCAAGGTACTCAACAGAAATGGCTGGGACCAATGCCTTACGACCTTCACCACTGCTTTTATGCGCCATGATCATGCATATGCTTCATGTGCACACAGGCCGTCCTGCGACTCCGGTCTCACCCATTGCAGGACTGCCAGGAATTCCGGTCCAGAGCCGGCGCGGCGTGGGTTGTATGGGCTGAGCTCCACTGTCTGGTACACATGCGGACTGTACCGTGGAATGGAGCAGAGCTTCTGCACTGACATCGCCACCAGTCGCAAGGACTGCGGCTCTTCTTCCAAGATCTTTAGCATCTCTGGGTCACTGATCTCGGACCTCTCAAGCGTGCGCACCTCGCCTGCAACTTGAACACCTCGGCCTGTGTCGTCCCAGTCGACGAACACCAGGCTTGCCGATTTCTGCAGCTGCACGTTGCCAAGACTCATGTAGAAGCCATTGCCTGTGTAGTCCGGCCAACAAATGGTGCTGCCACCATGCACAACACGCACGAACCCTGGAGAGCCACCGCGGATGTTCATGTCAGCCCCGTGCTCTGCAGTGCCAGTCCCGAAGTACATGTTATCTGCGCTGGAGATGATCGAGGCCTCCAGCTTGCCAATCTTGTTATCCTCCGACGCCGGCTCGGACGCGAACTCGAGGTTGCTACCCATTCGCTTCACTTTCCGCCGGGTGATGTACTTGGGGCAATTCCCAAAGGCCTGCGTGATCTGGATCGAAAAATGTCCATTCTCCTTGACCTTGCTGATTACCTTGGGCATTGCGATGGCTCAGGCGAAACCTTCAATTCTCAATTCTCATGCCTGTGACTCGGGGTCCTAGCTCATGCGACATTCATGATTGAAGACAGCAAGGCACTCCATTGAAGCGATTCCGACGTCTCGTCATGAAGTCAATGGCAACTGCGCCGACCAGGATGCCAGGCTTCACCATACCTGCTGCCTAAGCAAAGTAAGTCGGTGATTATGGGAAAGCAATGATCGTTCTGGCTTGGACCGCAGCCATTCCCGCTTAGCAACTACTTCGATCACGCACCCTCTGGAGATTTGCTGATGCGGAAGGAAGCAGGTATGTAGACAGTCACGTCCAGGTGCTAGTAATTAGTCGTGATGAGCTTAGTATGTAGCCTAGCTGCTGCATCCCTTGGATCCAGGGCAGCAGCAATGTCGATGTGAGTGCCATTAGATGTCTCGCAGTCAGCAAACCCTGGGTGCGCAAAGACCAGAGAAGACCAGCTGGCATTCGTCTCCGGATCAAAGAAGCTGACCATGAAATGTGGCTGCGGACCTACCATATCTCTGTATGACTCAGGGATGACCTTGTGGTAGATGCGCGGCCCCATCTCATCGGAAGTATGGACAGTGCCCTGTTTCTTCTGCAGCATCCTTTCCCCAGTATGCCATGGCTGCTCAAGCTTCAAAGCACGAGCGCCTGGAAGCCCCATTTTTGTCGGGGAGTATGGCGTGCCGAGTTCTGGGAAGAGAGATAACTTGAGCACAGTGCTGGCCGGCCACACAACCAACTTAGGCAACATGATCAAAATGGAGTCCTGCTTTTGCACAAAGGAAGAGATTACAGTGTCAGTTGCTTTTAGATGCTTTTAGAAGCACTGACCTATCGCAGGCAAGAGTGCAAGCCGTATCGCCGGTGTTTTCCGTTTCTTGGCAAGTTGCATGTCGTCTGCAAAGATCATAGGCGATGCACAGCGAGCCGCAGCCATCCGCGTGAAGAGCAAGAAGCTGGCCTGCAGAGGAGGCTCCAACCAACTCATGATAAGACGTGCTAGACTAGCTTGATTGCCACGGCAACTGAAACTACTTACTGGGGTTTAGTAGGGAATAAGGGAATCCATTCCCCAGATGAGCCAGTCTAAAATCCTAGTATCCCTCTAATAACCCCTATAGTAATCCTTTATATAATCTCTTCTATATGACCTCTCTAAGGAGTTTAGACTATAGCTTATACAATCCCCATAAAATATATTCCGTTATTCCCTGCTATCCCCCAGCAAGTAGGAATGACATTGCCTCCACCTGCAACACAGGGTCCCAGCAGGTGTGGCCTGTCACGAGGCTCCGTGCTGTTCAGGTTTAGGGTTCAGGGTTTAGGGTTTGGGGTTTGGGGTTTAGGTTTCAGGGTTCAGGGTTCAGGGTTTGGGGTTTAGGGCTTGGGGTTTAAGCTTTAGGGATAACCAGAAGGCTCTCACAACACAACAGTGGGCAGATATAGGGTTATATAGGGCTATGTAAAGGGATGTACGGGGTTGTATAGTACGGCGCTATATCATATGGGTATAAATGGGATATATCCCAATAACAGAGAATCAAATGGAAAAGAAAATGGAACATGAAATGGAAACTGGAGTTATATAGGGCTTTACAGGGATTGGTTTGCCAAAGTTAGAGGTACCTCTTTGGGGTCCCCATAATAAGGATTATGATATTTTGCAGTCTATACTGAGGTCCCCCTACTTTGGGCAACTCCTAGATTTTGGAGCTTCCATTTTATTTTCCATTATCCCAATACAACCCCAATATACTAAATAGTAGTTTCCATTTTATTTTCCATTGTCCCAATACGAACCCAATATACTAGATGCCCAATGAAGAAGAGCTGCTGGTACGGGTGTTGCGCAGAAGCCCCAGCTGGAGGTCCGCGGCCCAGGAATGCAGCGTGGCTTCGACTCCTGTAACATCATTCAGTCCCATTGTCGTACTGGTTCTTAGTAGGAAACCTATACAATACCAATAGAATACCTATATTATCCCCATAAAATAGAAATATATAGGTATTTAAAACGCATATATAATTCTACCCTACTAAGAACCAGTAAGTTGCTGCTGCGCAAAAGCTGCAAGGCCCACAGTGGCTGGATATCTGTGTATGTATATATATATATATAGGGGAATGCAAAATGAAATGGGAACTACTATAATGGGTTATATTAAGCTGGCGTCAAAATTACTTGTTTTTGCAGGTCTGGGAGGTATCGTTTTGGGGCATCTTTTTCAGGGTGCCCCTTACCTTTTTGCAGTGGCTTTAACATCTCTCATTGAACAACAGCCCTTACTACGCCATCATAACGGTAATTTTGACCCAGCTCTAATATGGATCATAGGTTACATGAGCTACTCGCAAAAGGTTGGTAACAAACTAACGGTTAGTGCAACCGCGCCTGGCCACGTCACTTGCACAGCAATTTCCGAAGTCGGTGCTGTCCTTGGTTTCGGGAATATCTAGAGTTGGAGTTTGCCACCCTTGAATTGGCCAAGAATCACAGGGTAGCCTCGCTTGTCGGCCAGCCACAATAGATCCCGCCAGGATACGACACGGACATCCTCCTCATTTCAGCCGCCACTCTGTTTTGTGATTGCAGATTTGGGCTGCAGTAAGACTGAGGCAGGCATCAAATCCAAATCACATGGACCCTGGCGATTCTAGCTCTGGCCGCTGTAGATTTCTCCTTATTACTTCTCATTCCTGGCATGTAGGTATTACATAGATTGTTGCTACGGTTGCGAAGTCCATGCTACAGCAACACTCAGGGACATGTTCCACCGTTGCCTCTTGCTTTATTGCTTTGGTACTTTGCCAGGTATTGTCTCCTTTTGTCATTGGGTGCCTAGCCCTATTATTAGAGAATTGTCAATCTTGCGAACAAATGTGGCTGCTCCTCTCCCGCATAGAACCACACAGGCAGCCTGAAGGCAATCACAGATCATGCGAAGAACCTTTCAAAGATCTTGCAATCGTGCGGCTTCCCCAGCTCTTGCAAGATTTCCTCCTTGCAGGTTTCATGCAATCGTACATCAATGAGGGGTTCAAAACATGTTCAACGACGCACAGTCCTCGTGGTCCCAAGCATCGTCCTCCCAAGCACCTGGTTCTAACGCTCCTCTCATGCGTAGGCTACCTAGTGACCCCGTGCAATGTGCCAGCAACACTCGCTCAGCAAATCTTATCCCTGCAATGGCATAGGAGCATTGCAGCACCACATGGAAGGAATTTGAGTTATGCGAAAAGCTTGATGCAAGGAGGATCAGGTTCCCGACTGGAACACATAAAAAGTTGCGGCAAGGTTTGTGAATAGCGGGCCAAAGGGAAAGAAGGACTGAACATTGGAAGATGACGGCGCAAGATGATGATGACGATGATGATAGACATGGCAAAGGCATGATGACAATGAAGTCACGACAACTAGTATAAGGAACAGGGTGGGTGGAGGTTGATGACAAGAGAAGAGGATAAGAAACTGCAGTGCATGATCGGTCCTCGGAGAAGTGATTGATGATACTTGTCGGCGAGGCTGAGGCTAGCACTCGTGGCCATGCATGCATGCGAGAGTTTGACTCCACAAGCCCTTTAGCAGTCACATTCATTCATAATGATTTCGTCATGATTTCTTAACGTGATGCTGATGGTGATGGCGGTGATGGTGGCGCTGGCGGTGCTGGCGGTAGGAGGAAACGCTGCAGATGGTGGCAGTTGTGCACAGTCTCAATGCTAGAAAGTGTCGTAATAAAACCCTGAAAACCCTCCAAAACCTGACCTATGAAAAAATGGGGGCCTAGTAACGTACCTTTCTGAAACACTACCATCATCTACATGTGAATCACGCATCAGGAAAGGAACATGGCGACAGACAATAGAAACGACATGACGAACTTGAGTGGCAGGCCCTGTCAACAAGGGCTTGCTGGGAGGGTTATGAACCCATGAAAGAAAATGACAAGGAAGACACAAATACCAAACAAGACCAAACTGAGAACAACAGCGACAAAGACCAGGATGCGGACGGCGAAGATGACGATGATGACGCGGAGTGTAGCAGGCCTCCTCTCTCCAGGATGTTGATGAGAATCATGGTCATGAATACAACAACGTTAATGCTGCGGCGAAGATGGATAATAGATGCTGACATCAGAGGAGTGGTGCTGCGAAGGGTGAGGGATCGCTCTGAAGCACCGATTGGCGTCGCTTGGGAACGCGGATTAATGCAATTTGGAACACCGATTAGCGTCATTTTGGAACAAAAATACCAGAAGTGATCACTTTGGAACGCAAGATATTCAATTTAAATCATCGCCCCATTAGTCCAAGCTTTGCCCCAGTAGTCCAAGGATCGTTCCCATTCGTCCAAGCTACGGCCCATTAGTCCAAGCCACGCCCGTTAGTCCAAGCGTGTGAGGAGTTCTGATTTCATTTTATAATCGCGCCATTATTCCAAGCTTCGCCCCATTCATCCAAGGATCGTTCCAATGCGCAGGCGTCAGATGTCCGAGGCGCGTTATTTAAACCCTACCATCCCTTTGGCCCTTTGGGCCCTACACTCCATAAATATGACCTACCTTAGGATGAAAACCTTGGATACCATGGAAACCAGAAACCATAGAAGCCAAAGAAACCATAGAGAACATGGAAAGCATAGAAACCATGGAAAGCACAGAAACCATGGAAATCCTGGAAACCACTGAAACCACAGAAACCATGGAAACCATAGAAACCATGCAACACATTAACACTGTGCAAGCTCTGGAAACCGTGTGTACAGTCACTGATCCCTGTTCCAAATTGATCACCTTGCCCACATTCCCAAATGACGCAAATTTGCGTTCCAAATTGACGTGCTGGCGACTGATGCACGAGAGGTGATGCTGACCATGACAACTCACTCAAACCATTGTCGAACAACTGCAGGCACTCTAAAATGAAGGTGTGGCCTTTAGATGAAAACGGAAACAAGATTTCTGGCTGAAGATGACAACGAAACTGATGACCAACAGAAGACCAGATGCTGGAAACAGAGGTGTCATGACCGAGTCATGGCCATGGTAGTGCGCATGCCGCATCTGGACGACAAGCATGGCTGCGACAAGGAAAGGATGGCGAAACATGGCAGCACGATGCTTGCTGTGATGATGTTGATGGTGATAAGTGTTGTAAATTCAGCAGCTGACTGTGGTGTGCATGCAGAGTCGAATGCCCTGAGGGTCGTCAGAATTACGGTTGGAAAACGCTACGTGCAAGATTATCGACAAAGACAACACGCGACAAAAGATGCCGACTGCCTAGACAGAAGCAGCCAACACGGATAGACAACAGTACATGACCCATAGCAGATCCTGGATCAGGCTGATGCATATGGCAAGAACTAAAAACTGAAAAGGTGATCATGGATGGTCGGTCTTGGAAATGGAGGGAATTGAGATGCCAATCCCACCGCGGTCCCGTCGCGATTATTTCGTTACGCCTGCGTGAGATGACAAGAGACATGCATTGCGTCAAGGAGGTGAGAGATGAAGATGACGATGGGCACCAAGAAGTGAGCACGTGGAACATGCTATGGTCATGGTATTGGTGGAGGAGGGGGAGGGTGACGATGCTGATGCTGATGTTTGGGAAGGTCATGGCAGTGCTAACAATGATGGGTGTGAGTTTGATGAACCAGAACCACCCCAATGATACTCAAGACAATTCTAACTCCTGGCTTTGATCCGCCCAGGCACAGCAAGCCGCCATGGGAGCGATTGAAGCAAGTCGAGACCCATAACGAGTTGCGACACCCCACGTGGCCTGCTTCGAGTTGCAAAACACTTCATCCTCTACATTGTCCTGCTGCCTGGCCTGCCCTCCCATGCTGTAGCCTGTGATGTGCAAGCGGCTCAGATCTGCTCCTAGGCAGATTCCGAGCGTGAAAAATGATCCAACCGCAAGCGACCGCTCTCAGCACTGGGCTCTCTCCGAGCATCTCTAGAACTGCAAGGAAGAAGTCCCATAGTATCTCCACATCGAAGCACTTCACATATGGCTCCTGCCCACATGAGCTTCTAGCACCAAAATGCTGCTCTGAGCCAAGAATAGCCAAAATATCACAGCAGCCTCCATATGGAAGCGATTGAACTTATACCATTCTGAAGGATGCACCACAGGCCTCAGTCCAATGTTGTTGCAACTCAGAGCAGGCCAATCGACCGCTTCATGCCGCCAAATGACTCCCCAACGCTGCCAAAAGGCGCCACGATAATGAACTCCTCACCTGACCATTGCGGGTTCATCATGTCCAATGAGTCGGTTCTGGCAAATGAGACGGCTGCGAGCTTTCTGGTTGTGCTTTAGCAGCTCTCTAACGTCCCACCACAATGTCTCCTGGGCCATCGAGATATTTCGAGGATGGCTCCAGGACTGAATCGATCTGTTGCAGTTCAGGTACAGGGTAGATGTACGTGTGGGCACCATGCCTCACATCGCTGCACATGCTGCAGAAAGATCCTGCGCCGATGTTCCGAAGCCAGCCAAGCAGCAGGAACATCACAACAGGAAGAGGGCCCGGAGAGCCAGGATCATGGAATAAGTAATGCTGCCTGTGCCCACCAAACTCGACCTGACTCACTCATAGATTGAGATCATGTCTCGAAGCAGTGTGAGCGCACCAGAATCTCTTAGGCTTGCATCAGGACACCACTCGCAAAAAGCCGCTTGGCACGCTCGCACATTTCCATGAGTCTTGTGCGTGTCCGCCTTTCCTTGGAAAGCTTTGCCGTCATGAGCACGCGAACTGAGCCACGTCCTTGCGCCTGGCAACCTAATTATGAAGCAGAGCTGAATGGCAGTCAAGGCACCCTCGCTCGCAGTACTGGCAGCCTCATGAGCGGGAAACTTCCCGACAGCAGAGAAGACGTCCATGCACTGGGTCTCAAACAGTGCGTGAAGGAGTAGTACTCATGTGTTCCTGCCATGCTGCGGCTGCAGTCCAGAAAGCCATAACTCCGGTTAGAATGCATGTCAAGTTTGCTGGCATGACAAAGACCTTCAAAAAGATTCAGCACAGAAATGTCATGAGCCAAACCCTTAAGTGTTGCCTGGATGTGGGTGGCCTTTCCGAACCTGCATGAGTCTGCTCTTGGTTGGCTTTTTGGCGGCATTGCGCATGGTGGCCAAGCAGCTAAACTGGTCACAATTCGATCGCAACCTGCACATTGGAACCATTGGTCCTCAGCGGGGGATGATGCAGTGTGAGTCTCAATTTGCCTTTTCTCGCCCCGCCTCGCTGAAACAACAAGCCGAAGTGGTCATGATAGCATCCATGGCGCCCACAAACCTTTGTTTGGCGCGTTCTCCGTGACTTCTCTCAGGCCAGTCACAGAGCCGGCATGCCTTTGTCCAATGGAATCGTGGTCATGGTCTCTAGGATCTGCCGTATGAGTACTGATTCTGGTTGTTTTCTAATCAAATCTTGTTAGTGCTGATGTCTTGCCTCTACGACTGGAACGGCTCTGTCAGGCGCACTTGAGCCTTCAGGCGACACAGCACCAGCATGCACAAGCCCTGACACCCAACCAGGAACCAGAAGGGCAGCGCCATCACGAATGGCAGAAGCAGCAGCAGCCGCCGCGACAGCAACAGAACAACCACAAACGGTGATACGTACCGAAGAGCAACAAATTGCAGAGTTGCGTAACAAGCTGTATAATGTGCTGCAATACGATGTAGCCGGAATGAACTCTGCATTGTCCTTCTCAAAAACACCGAGCCGATGCTGATGTAAGCAGTGCGGCCTTCTTTTGGGTGACTTTGGTGACAGTCGCCCATACAAAATCCAGAAAGTGACATCCCTGCTCAGCTTTGCCCACGGGACCCCCTGTACCTGGGCCCGGAGGCACAGCGGGATGTTGGCCAGTGGAGCGGACACATGCTGTTATCTTTTTGATCACTGCCATCAACAGAAAACACAAGGTAGACAGAATAAGCTCGTGGCAAGGAACCCGAAAATGTCCATTAAACGAGCGCATGTGTACACATCAGGCATCTACTCTACTACCTGTATGGAGCTTTGCTGAGGCGGCACCAGGAAGCACTGTCGCTTCGGCTTTGGCTCATCAACAGCAATCAGAGCTGTTGGATTCCGTTTGAAGCGCTTCCTCACTGTATCGCTACGATCACAACGAGCTGCCTTGCTCTCTGTGCGGCTTTTGGATGGTGACAGACATCGCGCTGAGAGCAGCGTGGCAGGGTGGCAGCGATCCTTCAGGTAGTCGTTTCATTTGGTGTAAAAACCGTCATCTTGAGACAACGAGAAAAGCACATTAAAGGCTAACTCAAGGGCCTTTCCCTTCAAAAGCTGTGCTTACTGAATGCTGATGCCAGCTCCTTTGGCGAGTATGCCAGCAGCTTGCGAGGAATTGCGAGGCTACCAGGAAGATGGGCAAATGCCGGGAGAAGCTCTGCCCAAGACCTGCCACATAACTTGGCTTCACCCGACTAAAGCTGACAAAAAAATCTTCAGGCCCTTGTAAAAATATGAGAGTTGTTCCAAGTCAGCTTGCGCCTACCGCCACGACGAAGCTTCACGAGATTCGCGAAGTGTTGAGCCAAGCGTATTCCACCAGATTCCGGCATCAAGCTTTGCATCTCCCGCTCTGTTGGTGTTCCAAGGACTCTCACAATGGCGTACATCTGGCCCCAGCTTGAATCTCCAGTAAAGATGGGGTGTCCGGCCATCATCTCGGCAATGATACAGCCACAAGACCACCAGTCAATGCTTGTTGTGTACTCGCTCGCACCCAGGATAAGTTCAGGCGCACGCCACCAACGAGAACAGATATAGTTGCTGGACGGCCCTTGTCCGAGAATCTTGGCAGAACCAAAGTCACAAATTTTGAGCACGTCATCGTGGCTGAGGAGTATGTTTTCGGGCTTTAAGTCGCGATGGCATATCTGCAAAATGTCCAAATGAACAGCGGCAGTAAGCAACTGTGTGCTGAAGCGATGCACATGCCAGGGAGACAAGGGTCGGCCGTTGATTCTGGCATGCAAGTTCTCAGGTAGATATTCCATCACAATATACACACATGCCCGATCGTCATGCGTGTTCCAACTGCACCAGTCAATGAACTTGATGACGTTGGGGTGTTGGGACGCCTTCTGTAGCATCTGTACTTCCCGCATCTCCTGACCACTTGCCATCAGCACACGCTTCACAGCAACCGGTGTCCCTGCAGCAGTGCGCGCCAGGTGCACAGATCCAAATGCTCCAGCACCCACATCTCCCAACCACTGAAGGCGGTCTATGAGTGCCAAACTTCCAGACGTTTGTGGTTCTGGCTGGGCCATGGTGGGGCCTGGCGTGAGAGACTCGTGGCTGTTTCTTGGAGGCTTCTTTACCACATTGATAAGGATCAATTCCACATCTTCCAAGCAAAGGCTCACAGGTCCTGGCTTGAAGGCCTTGCGTTGAAGACAGACACTGCTTCTAAGAGTCTCGTTGATCTCTGGGCCACTGAGCTCTTCATCTACCAGCCAGCCAGGACCCAATACTGCTTGGGAGGTTGTGACCAGGAAAACATGAATGGTCTCCAAGCTCAGGAGATCGATCTGCTGGCGGCAGAAGCGCGGGAAGCGCACGAGGAAGCATCCTTTATCGAAGGAGCCCATAGAAGATATGACACTATCGCCTCCCATCCACGCGAGGCAGCCGAGCTCAAGGCTTGCCACTTCACAGAGGCCATCCGTAACTGCCACAGACATTCCAGACATTAGGAGTGCACAGGCTTCGTGCTGATTGCCACCAACTGCGTTGAGCGCAGCCCGCGCCACGGCTTGTGGCTTTCCGGTGACAGCAGAAACATCCTGGGAGATTGTCCGTGACCCGAGTTCGTCCCGCGAGAGGTCCAGAAAAATCTTCTGACTTGGCGAGCATCTCGAGAAGTGCCCCATGGCTAGGCGGCCGAAACCTAACCATTTGAGTCCCTGGAGTGGCATCAGAAGATACTTTGTATCTAACACTTCCGACGGCCGGCAAGTGTGTGAGATGCAAAATCGTGAAAACAATGCAAGCACGCTTGAAAATGTTTTTGCCCGGGACAGCCATGCCTACACAAGCTGCATGGAGAGCCCCATGTCACAAGCCTTCAGGAGCTGCGACTGCAAGCGCTCCTGAAAAGCAAAATCGAGGTCGGTGCTCATCCTGCGAATCTTGATGCTGGATGTCCTTTGAGGTGTAGCTTGGAAGCTGCAGCATGTTTCCGCAGGTCATTGCTCGTGGGAGCAGATCATCCTTCAGCCCGGGTTTGTGTACACATTCCCTGCTATACTCTTCAGCATCCTTGTAAACAAATATGGCTGCAGAAGCCATGCCAGCTGTCTAGTGCTTTGCCGCCAAGGATCACCGCCATCCATGGGTTCCACGTAAAACGTGAAAGTTTTCGGATCTGTGGGCCACCGATCACTGCCTCACAGAAAGCTCAAGACAATTACAAACATGCAATCAGGGTAAGAGTGTTTATTTTTTTGTTGTCTGGTCTTTTTTGTTGTTTGGGCGGGGGCGT